CCCCCCCCCCCTTTATTCCCGAGCACGTCCGACAGACAGGAAGGAGCATCCATCATCCAAGCCAACCCGCACACAACATCCACCGTCGCACGGGAGGAGGCGGGCCTCAGGTCGAGGTCCACGTTCGGGGTCTCGGCTGAGGTGTCTCGGGGAGGAAGAGGCGATCCCCCCTTGTGACGGGGGAGTCGGCTGCCGCATGTGATCCGAGAGCGTTCGCCGCCACTTTTTCGGTCGCTGGCTGGCTGGCTGGCTGGCTGGCTGGCTTGTTTCGCCCGTCTGCCAGATGTCTGTCCAACATCCGACGCTGCCGCCGCTCCAGCAGCAGCAGCAGCAGTTGAAACAGGAGCCGCCGCCGCCACTCCCACAGCTGCACCTTCAGCACCAGCAGCAGCAGTCCCTCCCCGTCGGCCCACCCTCGTACGGCGCCCAGGCGGCGGCCCTGACGCCAAGCTCCGGCACCGGCACCTCCCTGTATGCGTCCCCCTCCCCAAGCGCCCTCAGCTTCTCGTCGTCGCACCACCACCACCACGCCGTGGGGAGCAGCGCCGGTGGGGCGGCCGGCAGTAGTCAGCACCACCGCCACGGTCTGCACCAGCACCAACAGCAGCGCCAGCAGCGCGTCGGCAGACTGGTCTCGGGCGGCACCCCCTCGACCGCGGGCGAGGGCAGCAGCGTGACCGACCCGCTCGAGGACCACCACGACAGCGGCAGCGGCAGCGTCCATGGCGGCGGCGCCGGGTCGTCCCGCCGCGCTGACGCCGCGGGCAGCAGTGACAGCTCCACCGCCGCGCCCGAGGAGCAGCAGGCTGAGGGCTCCGCCGCCCTGCGCATGAGGAAGAAGCGCAACAAGCCGACGCTCTCATGCTCCGAGTGCGTCGATAGGAAGACCAAGGCAAGTTGTTCCTTTTTTTTTTTTTTTATCTCACTCGCTCAGTTCCCTTTGCCCGCAACTATAACCCACATCGCTGTCGCACAAATCATCAAGATTTTAACCCCATGATACAGTGTGACAGGGGAAGGCCTCGATGTCTTGCGTGTAAGTGATTTGTCTTTGTCACAGTCTCGGCACTCGGATCCGCTGGCGAATCCACCTGAGCTCACATGGAACAAACCCCTTGTTAGGCATCAAACGGCAGACGACATGTCGGTACGCATTTGTTGCCAACCTGATTGAGTAAGGGTCCCAACATCAGATGTGCCTAGTAGCTACGTGGGACTGCTTGTTGACTGATCGTTTCTACGTTTACGCATGCACGTGTAGGGAGACGGGAAGGAGCTCTGGAAATGGCTTCCGCATGCTCAAAGCCCCTGCTAAGAAGCGGCGCTCCGACTCCCTGGCTTCGCCCGTGTCGGCCACCAAGGCCACAGCTGACCGCGGCGGCCTGCCTACGCCTGCGCCTGCGGGCTCCAAGGGCGCCATAGCGCTTTCTACCGGCCTTCTTTCAAACATACCCTATTCTCACCCCACGGCCTCAAACGTCTTCGGCGTCGGGACCGAGCACCCTTTTGCCAACTATTGGACATGCCAGGGAGGCCTCCGCGAGGTCGTTGCCTTCATGCCAGACAAGCAACAAGCCGACGCCCTCTTGTCACGCTACTTTGAATGCGTCGACCCGGTGTACCCTATGCTGCACCGCCAGACTTTCTATGCCGACTACGAACACTACTGGTCCATGGCCCAGGCGGAGCGAGAGCGGACCGATGCCGACTTTGTCTCGCTGCTGTTTGTCATGCTGGCCTTGGGCACGCAGTTCGTCATCGCCTCGTCTCCAACCGAGAGGAAACAGACGGCCGAGTTCTACGCTTCAGCGAGCAACCAAGCCCTGCGCGTGGGCTCATACCTGAATCGGGCGTCCATGCGCTCTGTCCAGGCCATGGTTCTGCTAACTTATTTCCTCATAAACGATAACCACGCATCTGACGGATGGGCCTTTGCCGGCATCCTCATGAGGCAGGCATACGCGATAGGACTGCACAGGGACCCTAACATAGGCAAGTGTTGGGATGGGATGGGATGGGATGGGATGGGATGGGAGCTTCGGATTTCTTTTCTCGCTTGTTGTTACTGGTTCGCAAAGGTGGCATGCTAACTAACCCTTTCCATCCGGAGCAGTCATGCCGGATGCATCCATCTTTGAGAAGCAACAACGACGGAAGCTGTGGCAAGCAGTGCTCTTGCAAGACACGTTTCTTACGGTGCTGCTGTCGCTCCCACCAACAGCGACGCATACCGACGTCAACGTGGACGACCTGATGGAGGATGAGTCGTCAATAGCCAACAGCAACCCCCTGGACAACGCATACATCCGGGGCTCCTGGACGCTTGCAAACCTCGTTCAAGAGACCATCTGCTCCCCGCGATCGCTGGACCTGCCCGTGTGCACGACGGTGCGGCACAAGAGCAAGCTGGTGTCGGACTTCAAGGCCGTCTACCGCTCGTTCCCGGACACTTTCCGCAGCTGGGACCCGGAGTCCCTGGCGCAGGAGGCCAGGGCGTCGGCCGCCGGCAAGAGGCTGGTGCGGCAGACCCTGTTCCTGACCAGCAACTACTTCCACAACCTGATGCTCGTGCACGCCTCCGAGGCCCCCGACGTGCCCGTCAACGTGCGCGGCGCCCTCGACGCGGCGCACCAGGCCATCACGGCCTTCTTCGTCCTCTTCTCCGTCTTCGACCTGGACGCCAGGGTCTGGTGGGTCTTCAACCACCGCGCCTTCCTCGAGGCCCTCTGCATCGGCAGCATCGTCCGCGACGCCGCAAAGGAGCCCGACGGCGCCGCGACGGTGGCCAGGGATCCCATGTTTATAAGGGCCAAGGACGATATCAGTAAGTGGCCTCTTGCTTCTTTTTTTTCTTCTTTTTTTTTTAGGTGTCCGGTACTAGAACATCCGCACTGACCATGCAACGCACATCCTCTGTCTAGACCGGATGATCGAGATCATGCGCTTCATGGGCGAGGGTGATAACGGGTCGGAAGTGGCCAAGACGAGGGTGCAGGTCTTGAGTGAGTACTTGTAGTCGGCCTTTTCGGCTCCGTAGGGATTGTGAGAAGCGCACTGAGAAGAGAGGAGGAGTCTTCTGTATCTCGGATTGACTACGTTAATAGATAAAGAGCTTTGATTACTATATAGCTTTACCCACGCCAACCTGTTATGCCCTAGTATCGGCCCAGTATCAAGTGAACATCTTCGAGTTGATGCTTTTCCCACCAATCCCTTAAAATATATCCCGACCCCCGACGATAAGCGACAACGCCACCTCTCCATTCGACCCAGAGCACACCATAGGATTCCGAATAGGTGACGGTGGGTTGCGCAGCGTCGCCAGTCTCTTCCGGACCTTTGGTG